CAGATTATATAAATATTAAAGGGTTGATAAGAGAATATTATGAACAAGTTTGTACCAATAAATACAACTTTGATGAAAAACCTGCCTCAAGAAGAATCAGATAATCTGAAGAGCCCAGCAAGTATTTTTAATTAGACTTTATGTTTTAGAGCAGTTTTAGTTTTACAGAAAAATTGTGCAGAAAGTACAGATTTACTATACACCCTCTCTACTCCCTGCACTCTCTAATAGTTTCTCCTATTATTAACATCTTGCTTTAGTGTGGTGCACTTGTTACAACTGATGAACCAATATTGATACATTATTATTAACTAAAGTCCATAGTTTATATTAGGGTTCACTCCTTGTGTACAATTTTATGGGGTTTGAGAAATGCATGGCATGTATCCACCAGTGCAGTATCATGCAGAATAATTTAATCTACTCTGCTCTGTACTCCATCTGCTTACATCCTTCCCTGCTCCCTGAATCCTTTGCCACCACTGATCTTTTTAATGTCTCTATAATTTTGCCTTTTCCAGAATGCTATATAGTTGGAATCACAGAGTATAGCTTTGCAGACTTTTTCTTTCACTTAACAATATACATTTAAGGTTCCTTCAAGTCTTAACAGTATCTTGATATCTCATTTCTTTTTGTCACTGAATAATACTCTGTTGTATGGATGTATCACAGCATGTATATCCATTCCCCTATTGAAGGGCATCTTGGTTCTTCCAATTTTTGGCAATTATGAATAAAGTATTATAAGCACTTATGTGTAGGTTTTTGTGTAGAAATACATTTTCACCTCATTTGGGTAAATACTTGGGAGTGCAATTGCTAGATCATATGGTAAGCCCATGTTTAGCATTGTTCAAGAGTCTGCCAGACCGTCTTTCAAAATGACTACATTTTTTGCATTCCTAGCAGCAGTGACTGAGAGTTCCTGTCATTTTACATTCTCGATAGCATTTGGTATTGTCAGTTTTTTGTATTTTCGACATTCTAATGGGTGTGTAGTGGCGACTCATTTTTGTTTTAATTTGTAATTCTCTAATGATATATGATGTTGAATATCTTTTCATATGCTTATTTGCCATCACTACATATTCCTTGGAGCCCTGGTGGTGCAGTGGTTAAGAGCAACGGCAAGCTACGGCAGCTAACCAGAAGGTGAGCAGTTCAAATCCATCAGCCACTCCTTGGAAACCCTATGGGGCAGTTCTACTCTGTCCTATAGGGTCGCTATTAGTCGGAATCGACTTGATGACAACTGGTTGTTGTTATGGGTTGTTATATATTCTTCGGTGAAGTCTGTTCAGATTATCTGCCCATTTTGTAATTGGAGCATTTTTTTTTATTGTTGCATTTTAATAGTTCTTTGCATATTTTGGTTACAAGTTGTAATCAGATTGTGGTATACAAATATCAGGTATGTGTTTCTCCCAGTCTGTGGCTTGATTTTTCTTTCTCTTAACAGTGTCTTTCATAGAGCAGAAGTTTTTTATTTTAATGCAGTCCAGCTTATCAATTTTTTCTTTCATAAATTTTGTTTTGATATTGTATCCCTATATCTATTTTTAGAAATTGAATTTGTAGTTTATAACATTCCAAAAAAGAAAACTCAAGGTCCAGATGGCTTCACTGGTAAATTCTACCAAGTATTTAAGGAAGAAATAAGACCAAGTCTACACAAACTCTTCCAGAAATTTGATGAGGAGGGAATATTTCCCAACTCATTCTATGATGGCAGAATTACGCTGATATCCAAACTAGACAAAGATGTTACCAAAAAAAGACCTATTTTTGAACATAGTTACAAAAATTCTGAACAATATTTTCATAAAACTAAAATCACAGTTGGAAGGCAGAAGTCATTACAGGCCCTCCCTTTAAAATAAAAGTATTGGACTAAATCACTAGATGTGTTCAAATTTGATCCATCCATAGTAATGTTTCTAAATATCCAGGCCCTTTTTTTCTTGTTAATAGGGATCATGGACTCTAAAGAAGCTTACTATTTTAATTCTAAACTTGAAGATTGTTGACTTCTGAGTAGCCCCATTTTATGATTCATTTCTACGTTTTAAAAAAGGTAATAAATATATTCCATCTACTGTATAAGAAAGGAGCCCTGTTGGCACAAATGTTAAGCACTTGGCTGCTAACTGAAAGGTTGGTGGTTTGAACACACCCAGCGGCTCTGTGGGGAAAGGCCTGGTGATCTTTTTCCATACAGATTATAGCCAAGAAAATCTTATGGGGTAGTTCTACTCTGTCACATGGGGTATCTATGAGTCAGAATTGACTCAATGGCACACAACAAGAACAACAACTATATAAGAATGTTATATTAGAAGTAGCTTGTCAAGATAGCTATGAAGGTGATCTGGTAGCCAGCCTCCAAGATGGCCCTCAATAAATCTTTAAGAAATTTATCAATCACTACGGGACAAATAGCAGACAAAGTTGCTAATGGAATGGAAACACAATAGCTGATTTCTGACCTCATTAGTCTAGGTGGCATTAGATAACAGAATAGCCTTAGAGTTTTTATTAACCCGAGAAGGTGGCGTCTGTGCCGCAGCAAATATTATTAGATTTGTTACCGTCAGGAATAAGTACATGGGCTAGAACACTAATGCGAGCAATAGTAATATTCTAAGTCTGTATCCTGTTAGTATTAGGCATAATAAAACTTATCTTCTATTGTCTTACACACTTGAAAGGCTTGGGCTAAAATGTTGATGCACACCGACTTTGCTCATTTCTGTAGTACAGTTGATGAGAACGTCATTGTTACATAAGATCCTTGTGAAGAACCAGATGGTATCTGGTGGAAAAACAGCACCATGAGTTTAAAGATGCCATGGCCACCATCTAAGGAGCCTGACTAAGTCCAGGTTTTGATTATCAATGTGTTATCTCCAATCTCTGATCAAAACGAGGGAGTGACTTAGGATTTAAAATTGGAGTCATTATTCCTTGTCCTTGAATATAAAGACTGTGACCCAGATGGAGCTGGACTCACAAGGACACATCAACTGGGCCCTGAGGTATAAAAACAACAACTAGGACAAGCTTGGAAAACATCTTTTAGGGAAGATTTTACATAAATAAATACTTAGAGCACAAAAGACCCACATATTTTCTACTCTTAGCTTTTTCTATTAGCATTTAGTAAATAATAAGATTGTTGGACCAATGAATACCCTCCAGACTGTCATTACTGAAGCTTGTACCAATGATAATTAAAAGAGACAGTTCAAAATGTAGAATCACAGTGATTTAGTAGGTATTAGCCATTCTTTGAGAAGGTGAAGCTTTTAATAATTTTACCCGTTTGTAATGTTAATATGTACCGATGATTCTGTAACATTCCTCAGACTCAGACAGATATAGCTATGGCAGCATGCTTGTCTGTTTCCCACTTTCGTCTATTCTGTAACATTCTTCGGAGTCAGGCAGACATGGCCCAGGCAGCATGCTTGTCTGTTTCCCACTTTTGCCTCTTGGAACATATGCCCAATAAAATATTCCTTCTTACTTTACTGTAACTTTGTGGTGATTTTACCCTAGGACACAAGAGAAAGTAAAGCATAATCTTTGACATTATTTGTTACATGAAGACATTGATTGGCTAAAAGACACAAGTGAAAGACATGGGGTCAAAGGAGGTGCTTCATGTTGGTTACAAAGCAAATGACATGATGAAAATTTTCAGAAGTGGACTATTAAAAGTTATCTTGCTCAGAGTGCCAATCTCTGAAGGAGATTGAGAACAAAGACTTTCCATCAGGGAACAAATACGTTTCCATGAGGTATTCACATTCTTTAGCCTGACTGCAAACAAACTTATTTCTTTAACAATAATAGGGGTTGGTTGCTAGGCAGCAAAGGTAGAGTCTGGGGGAAAGGTTACATTGAGCTCTTAGAGTTAACTCAGTCATTTTACAAATAGGTCGGATGCCTCTGTTTTGATTTTATCCCTTATCAATCCCAAGGGGAATAGAAAGCAATTGAAGGCTCCTAAAGGGAAATTGGCAAGATCTGGTTTATATTTTTGATCATCGTTTTGGCTACTGTGTGAGAAATAGTGAGTAGTCGATAGCGTGCCTCTTAACTATTTCTTCTCTTCCCGTCTTCTGGGGATACTGGCTCAAAACAATTGCTGGGCAGACCAGAATTTACAGGCCAGCTTCAAATCCGTCTCGCAAAACTGGAGTCAGAGTTCTACTCAGGGCATCCGGAACTTCTGTGGTTCCCGTTTCTCCGCAGCAGATGGCCCCACAGCCCAATTCCTGACCTGCCTCGGGTAATCCACCCGTTGCAGTGTGCGCCAGACGCCACCAGGCGACTCCTGGTGGCGATGTCTGAGTGAGACGGTCTGTTCCCTCCGAGCGGTCCTCTGTTAGCGCTGAAGTTGGAGAGCTGCGGAGAGCTGCTGGGCCATCGCGCTCGGGCTTCGGCTGAACCCGACGCTGGCCACTGCTCCCTCGGACTCTCAGCAGAGGCGTCTTAGGCCAGGAGGAGCTGGAGTTCTGCAGGACACCAGTCCGCCTGGGACTCTTCGCTCTGGGACCGCTCTGAGCTAGGTCCTTCGGAGACTTTCTGGATAGAAAGTCCCCGCGGGCGGGTCCCGGGCAGGCAGCGCTTTTAGGGATTACCCAACCAGAAAGGTGGGTCTTTGGGTTTCGTGAGAAGGAATGGAAGGGCAATCTGAACTAGGCTTTGGAGGGAACTGCCTGGAGGAACACGTGGGGAGAGAGGGGATAGTGAATGGAAAGTGGGTAATGTTGGAAAGCAGAGGGAACAGCCTTGACCGGTGTTAAGAGTCAGGGAACATATTGAGCGCGGGCTGCGTGGCTCAAGGCAAGGGAAGTGAAGCAAGTAGCTTGTTTGGGTGGAGAGTTGCCTAGGGAAGCAGAGCACTTAAGAGCCTCTTCTTTCCCCTCTCCAGCCTCCTCTTTTGTGGTGAGGTCACAGCCCCCCTAGAGCCCTCCCTCCTTTTGCCCCTCCCGTTCCCCGTCTCCTTCAGCCTGGAGGAACCAGAGGCACTCTGGGCTGGGAATGAGGCAGTAGCGGAGGATGAAGAAGTAGCCTGGGGGTCCGTGGAAAATGAGGCAGAAGCCCCTGCTGCAGCTGGTGCTGCTGCTGGCCCTGCCCAGGGTCCTGGGGGGAAAGGAGTGTCTGTCTCCGCCCTGTGAGTGCCACCAGGAGGACGACTTCAGAGTCACCTGCAAGGATATTCACCACATCCCCAGCCTTCCAGCCAGTACCGAGACTCTGTGAGTACCTGGGAGAGGAGAGGGTAGGACCCAGAGGCCAAGGGCAACTGGAAAGGTGGACAGAGTGCGCAAAAACAGCTTGGGAGAAGGCAAAGGGTGTGGGTGTGTTTAATGGGTAAAAAACTCCATCGCCCACACTTGGGAAGATATAATTGCTGACTCCTTAGTTATTCATAACGCAGGGAAAGGTTTTAAAAAAAAACCACTTTGGTACACGGTGAAAGTGAGAGTTATTCTAAGGAGCTGCTATTCTGCATTTTCCCCTTCTCTTAGCCCTGGCTGAATCTTAATTAAACTTCACATATTAGTAAGGTTAATAGCAACTCAAGACTGATCTTTTGAAACTTGAAATTTACTTTGAGTAATGAAAAATTGCAGAAATGTATTTCTCCTTTTAGTCTTTCTAGGTGAGAAATGATCTTAGCAATTCTGCTGATTCATCAAATAGTTGACAAAAATTTAATGAGGGGCTCCTTTTTAAATAAACACTTTATACAATGTGTAGAGTTACTTACTCAAATGAGAACTGTCCTCCCACTGATATGGTGCATCCAGACCTCCCCTTTGGGCTATACGCCTGGTAAAGGTACAAAGAGATAACATTTCATAGAATACACTTTTATCTGCATGTTAAATGGTACCAAATCAGAAACCTGATTTTCAGTAAGTTTTATATGTCAGTTCTTTAACAGAAATTTAAATCAATGACTATTTAAAGGATAATTGTAGTCAAGACCAAAGGACAAAAAAGCATTTTTGAGTGGTTAAAATTAAACAGAAAAAATAGTAAAACAACTGTTGTTGTTGTTAGGTAACCTCGAGTCTGTTTCGACTCATAGCCATCCTATATACAATAGAACGAAACACTGCCCAGACCTGTGCCATCCTCACAATTGTTGCTATACTGGAGCCCATTGTTGCAGCCACTGTGTCAGTCCACCTCGTTGAGGTTCTTCCTCTTTTTCGCTGACCCTCAAACTGACCAAGCATGATGTCCTTCTTCAGGGACTGGTCCCTCCTGATAACATGTTCAAAGTGCATGACATCATCACTTCTAAAGAGCATTCTGGCTGTACTTCTTCCAAGAGAGAGTTGTTCATTCTTCTGGCAGTCCGTGATATATTCAACATTCTTCACCAACACCATAATTCAAATGCATCAATTCTTCTTCAGCCTTCCTTATTCATTGTCCAGTTTTCTCATCCATATGAGGCAATTGAAAATATCATGGTTTGGGTCAGGCACACCTTAGTCCTCAAAGTACGTCTTTGGTTTTTAACACTTTAAAGAGATCTTTTGCAGCAGATTTGCACAGTGTACTATGGTATGTGATTTCTTGACTGCTGCTTCCATGGGGGTTGATTGTGGATCCAAGTAAAATGATGACAAATTCAATCTCTTCTCCGTTTGTCATGATTTTGTTTATTGGCCCCATTGTGAGGATTTTTGTTTTCTTTATTTTAAGGTGTAATTTATACTGAAAGCTGTAGTCTTTGATGTTCATCAGTAAGTGCTTTAAGTCCTCTTCACTGTCAGCAAGCAAGGTTGTGTCATCTGTATATGGTGGGTTGTTAATAAGTCTTCCTCCAATCCTGACATTATATTCTTCTTCATATAGTCCAGCTTCTTGGATTATTTGCTCAACATACAGACTGAATAGGTATGATGAAAGGATACAACCCTGACGCACACTTTTCATCATTTTAAACCATGCAGTATCCTCTTGTTCTAATCGAACAACAGCCTTTTGGTCTATGTACAAGTTCTTCATGAGCACACTTAAGTGTTCTGGAATTCCCATTCTTCGCAATGTTATCCAGAATTTGTTATGATCCACGTAGTTGAATGCCTTTGCATAGTCAATAAAACACAGGCAAACGTCTTTCCAGTATTCTCTGCATTCAGCCAAGATCCATCTGACATCAGCAATGATATCCCTGGTTCCACGTCTTCTTCCGAATCCAGTTTGCATTTCTGGCAGTTCCCTGTTGATGTACTGCTGCAATCATTTTTGAATTATCTTCAGCATAATTTTACTTCCATGCAGTGGCGTCACTAGGGTTGGTATCACCTAGTGCAGTAACTCATGGTGTCACATGCCCATGGACCTCCTCCTATACCAGACCATGCAGAGTCCTTCATAATGTTTTTTGTACTAATGTTACTCGTAAATCGTAATTCTCATATATCACTCCCTCTTTTGCTTTAATTACTATCTCATTCTCAAAAAAGTTGTTGATATAGGTTCACAAATACTAATTACCACAATGTTTTAGCTAAAACACCAGAAAATTTGACAAAATCCTTGACTATAAAAACACTGGCAGCAATGAAAACAACAGCACCTACTTGTAGCGCATGATTCAAAGCATAATTGTAATTAGGTAATAACGACAGCTCTGATCAGAAGGCATTAGAAGGTTTAAAAAGTAAAATAAGCATAGAGATTTAGCCTTGTAGGTGTACTGATACTGTAAGCTGTGCTTATGAAAAATGTTTTTGTTGTTATAACTAACGGATATTTTTATTCAAAAAATAATAAATTTCTGCTGAAACACTGAACAAAAATATTATGGACAGTCATTTGGTGACACCCCTCTGATAGTGTCACCCAGTGCAGTCTGCACACCACACACACCCCTAGTGACAACACTGCTTGCATGTGATATTAATTATGATATTGTTTGATAATTTCCGCATTTTGTTAGATCACCTTTCTTTGGAATAGGCATGTATATGGATCTCTTTCAGTTGGTTGGTCTGGTAGCCAAATTTCATGGCATAGACTAGTGAGAGCTTCCAGCCTTGCATCCATTTGTTGAAACATCTCAATTGGTATTCTGTCAATTCCTGGAGTCTTGTTTGTTGCCAATGCCTTCAGTGCAGCTTGGACTTCTTCCTTCAGTACCATTGGTTCCTGATCATATGCTACCTCCTGAAATGGTTGAACATCGACCAATTCTTTTTGGTACAGTAACTGTGTATTCCTTCCATCTTCTTTTGATGCTTCCTGAGTTGCTCAATTTTTTTATCCATAGAATCCTTCCATATTGCAACTTGAGGCTTTAATTTTTTCTTCAGTTCTTTCAGCTTGAGAAGAACCCAGCGTGTTCTTCTCTTTTGGTTTTCTAACTCGAGGTCTTTGCACTTTTGATTATAATACTTTACTTTGTCTTCTCAGGCTACCCTTTGAAATCTTCTCTTCAGCTCTTTTACTTCATCATTTCTTCCTTTCTCTTTAGCTACTCTACGTTCAAGAGAAAGTTTCAGAGCCTCTTCTGACATTCATTTTCGTCTTTTTTTTTCTTTTCTGTCTTTTTAATGACCTTTTACTTTCTTCATGTATGATGTCCTTAATGTCATGCCACAACTAATCTGGTCTTCTGTCATTAGTGTTCAATGTATTAAATCTATTCTTGAGATGGTCTCCGAATTCAGGTGGGATATACTCAAGGTCGTATTTTGGCTCTTGTGGACTTGTTTTAATTTCCTTCTACTTCAACTTGAACTTGCATATGAGGAATCGATGGTCTGTTCTGCAGTCGGCCCCTGGCCTTGTTCTAACTGATGATATTGAGCTTTTCTATCGTCTCTTTCCACAGATGTAGTCAGTTTGATTCCTGTGTATTCCATCTGTAGCCTTGGTGGCGCAGTGGTTAAGAGCTCGGCTGCTAACCAAAAGTTCAGCAGTTCAAACCCACCAGCCACTTCTTGGAAACCCTATAGGGCA